GCATCACTGGTCCCCTCCTCAACTGGCTGTCTGACTACCTGTATGACAGTAAGTTGCAGGCAGTAGTCGGCGGAGCATCTTCAGAACCATACAAGATTGATGCTGGGGTCCCACAAGGGAGCATCCTTGGGCCCACACTGTTTTTGCTGTACGTGAATGACGCCTGCGACGTCCTACCGGAAGGGATCACCCCGGCTGTTAACGCAGATGACACCACGCTTTATGCCCACATCCCGATGCCACATGATGTGACAGAAGTGTGCCGCAACCTCCAAGCTGGTGTGGATGCACTTGCTGAATGGGGTGCTCAGTGAGGTGTCACTTTTGAGCCAACGAAATCACAGGCCATGACTGTGTCCCGCCACTACAGACCCTGGGAGACACCACCCATCAAGTTCAACGGCACAGCGGTATCGGAATGCTCGCGGCTGAAGCTCCTTGGAGTGACGTTTGATGCCCATCTACCATACTCGGAGCATCTTCGAGGAACTGCAGTGCGTGCCACACAGCGAATTGGTTTCTTCCGGAAAGCGTGCCATGTCCTGGACCCACCGGGCCGGGCCACAGCATACCGGGGGTTCATTCCGCCTCTAATGGAGTACTGCCCACTTGTATGGATGGGAGCTGCGGCTAACCATCTCTCACAACAGGACCGAGTCCAGCATCGTGCCTTCACCCTGATTGGGACAGGGGCTGCAATGGACACTCTGTCCCTGCGGCGCCGTGTGGCCAGCCTCACAACTCTGTACAAGCTCCATTATATCGCAAGCCCACCAGCTCTTGCAGCGACACGCCCAGCCAGAGCCATCGCACCCGCCATCGCGCCTGCCACACGTCGCCGCTCGGCAGCCAACCTTGCGTACGAGCTTCAACTCCAGACAGCCCTACCTGCCAGATCGCGCAATGTTGCGCTGCGCTCTTTCCCGGAGTGCCTCATCGAAGCCTGGAATGAACTGCCAGCCACTCTCCTCCGCAATGCACCGTCTGCCAAAGGGATGCAGCAGTTCAAGGTTCTGACCTACCGCTACCTGAAACGGTCGGGCTGGTCATTGGCCACGGACATCACCCCCTAGGCTACTGCCAGTACGACCCTGTTCATGTTCTCGGAGCACTCCCTTCTCATCCAACTCCCAATCCATCCGTCTTTATCTCTCTCTCGAACTCTCCTCCATTCTAACTCTAATCTTTCGTCAAATCTGCACGGCAATCAGCCTCTACCTTCGCCTCAGCATCATGATCTTGATACAGGTGTTCCCTCATTATAACGAGTCCGGTTACTACATAAACTCCGTTAGTAAATAGAAATCTGAAATCCTCTGGCAAAACATGGCCTATACAACTGGTTACAGGTCCGGTTACAACATAATCTGTTAGTACATAAAATCCGTTATAACGACCCTTTGCCCAGGTCCTTGGAGTGCCAAACCCTCAGTATAAGATAATATTGACCATGCAGGACCAAGGCCAAAACACGTAGGATAAAGCAGAAAGAGGAAACGTATTATGTCTATGTATTCGTGAATATGGACGATCCTTTGTATCCAAGGAAGAGTTATGTTGGAGTAACTTGGAGATTTTCAATTATCTTATAACGAGTTGAAGCATTGATAATTTATGTTGTATCGAGGGTAGCCCCGGTAAGTACGAAGTAGTGCCTATTTCACCTTTAGCTGCAAGTCCTGCTACAAGATAAGTCTCGTTATAAGATAACTTTTTCGATGGCCCAGAGATTATCTACTAACGAGGGAGGACCTGTACTGCTATATTTGTACTTGTTTGCGTACTTGTTTGCACTCATATCTTGGAATAACAAGTTTCCTGGTTTCCTCCCCTCGCTTCTCTCTTTCCTACCCTTAGAGTTCTTGATCTCCTGCTCCCCTCCCCGCCCTTCCACTCCCTATTTTGTTTCCTTTGGTGCACATGTGCAGCTGTGATTCCGAGACCCTGGGTTGGCTGAGCTTCACAGGTCCCACCCAGTCCGTCCTGCTGGATATGTACCATTGTGTCGAGTTCTTCTCCTCATTTTAGTTCATCATGCAGTGAGTGTTCAATAGTAAAAAAAATTAAAAATACAAAAATATGGGAGCTTATCACTCCCTTAGACTCACATAGATTTTTGCCATACCTAAGCAGTAAAATATTCCTGCATATTTCACTCATTAGTTAAGGCTATATTGACCGCTTATACTCGACTCCTTTTTAGCGATTGAACACATGCTTTGGTCAGTCGTGATAAATCTAATATTGACTTCGTACTTGGTCAGTATAGGAAATAATAGACCTCGTAAAAGACCTCGGCTTCGCCTCGGTCTTTTACTCAGCTTTTATTTCCTATATTGACCTCGTACTCAGTCAATACAGGGCCGGCGCCACTGGTACGGCCAGTACGGCCATGGCCGTACCAAAAAAAATGGGCGTGGAACGTCCAAAACCGGGGAGAAAAGTTTCGATGTATGATTTTGTACAGGGAGTCGCCCAGAGTGCAGAATTTGCCGTCTAAATTCCAAAAATGTTCTGGGGGAGGGCCCCCAGACACGGCCCTTAAACATGGCCCTTCGGCCGCACCACTTCGCGGAAGCTGCCTCCGGCCCTGCAATATTAGATACATAGTGATGGTGAGGCTTTTTTCCTCAGCTGACCTAAGGTCTCGGCGTCATGGGGACATAAAATGCACCAAAAAACGAACGAAGATGTTGTGACTTTGGTGGCAGAGTGATTGGTAAAGAAAGTGTCTGCTCCAAGTAACTGGTGGTGTTAGTGGACATTATAGCGTATCTTGTAGCTCTTTGGTCCTTTTCTTTGCTATAAATTTATCCTTGGCTCTCTCTCCATCTGAGTCCATCTTTGCATACCTGATGAGCCGTCCTTTTTTTATGCTGCGAAACGATTGTCGTATGAAACTGCTGCTTGTTAAGGTTGGTTCACATAAGCCAAATAGGCGCCGGGAAGCACTGGCGGTGATCCACCTCACGGTTTGTCCTGTATACGGTTCGAGTACTGCTGTAGTACCAAATTCATTACAAAGTAGTGCGGAATCAGATCATGAAACTACTTCTATACTATTCATTGCAGTCTAGTAAGCGGTGGTGTCGAAGTTCTGCATTCAAACATTGATGAAGTCACAACAGCTTGCGAATGCATCCTTCGTATTTCTATTTCTTTCAATTGTATTTTGTCTCATAAGCTGCAGCACAGTCAAGCCGATCATCCGGGAAGGACGGGTTGGTATGCTGACTTTATTTGCCACATTGATGCGACTACAAGAATGGCGAACGTATCTCAACCTGAGCTTCCATTTAGGAAAATTTAGGACGAATCTTGGTTTGAAAATTTGACAAAGTCTGGGTCCTGGCACCGGCGATCATCGGTGCAAACGGTTCACAACCCACTTTTGGTCAAAATTGTACGGGATCGGTGCCGGAGCAGATTGGGATTGCAAGAGTTGAGCCTGCCCAACTTTGCCGCTGGACCCATGCGATTAGTTACAGTATGATTTTGTTACGATTGCACTGGTTCATATCATTGCAATTCACTGGGAGAGGTTGCAAGAGGCTCACCGCCGGTGGCTCCCGGCGTATACCGGCGATATATGAACCAACCCCAACTGCTGCTCATTGTGCATCCAAATTGTCATAATTGAAGTACAGTACAGTTTTTCTGAGACGTTCAGTTTTGCATGATTCGAGTTATCTTAGCTTCTTATTCAATTGATCTTCGAATCTTTAGCGCCACACAAGTTGCATGTTATGTTGTCTTGCGTCCTTGAATCGCGGTTTGACGAATGGTCTTGCCAGTATCGTCATTGGCATGCGTGTACATCCGTCAACGACCTTCACAACTAACACTTTTAGCTTGTGCTTATCTTGGTTGCGTGCACCTTCTCTTCCTATGTTATTCCTATAACTTCAAATCTTGCAAGTCTGAAGGCTGTTGGACTGCCCATCCAAGACGTGCTAGAGTTGATTGTCAGTTAGGTGTCCTACTCAATACAAAATAGGGTGGATTACAGTATAATGTTAGGCTAGACAGTCACCAGTCAGTTACCCACTGATTGCCTCCATCTATTATTATAGAATGATTCGCATGCATTTAGGATGAAATGGGCGTTTACGATAGTAAATTATATCCATGTTACTGACAACAGACTGTCTTCTATTCTCCACGTAATTTCTACATGGGTTTTGTAGTGGTCACGCCCATATCATTGACATTCTGCAATAATCCATGGTTGTCGATCTTCATAATATTAAGAGTATGTTGAATTCGAACAAGAGACTGACGACGGGAACAGGTAGGTTGGTGGAACGACATTTATTAGAGACGGGATGACTAAGACCAGGACGAACGAAACGACTACATGGTGATTATTGAAGAGAGCGAGTTGAAGAGAGCTTATTGAAGAGAGAATGTTGAAGAGAGAAGCAACGCAATATAAAGGGCCTGGGTAGCCATGGCAAACATGGTCGCGCAAGTAGCTACCCAGGCCAAATGAATAATGCATGAACTAATGAATATGAACTGATTACTTGTGGGCCTCACAAGTAGATAAACAAGAGTGTGCAACTCCGGGATGGGTTGGCCCGCGGCGGAATTTTCTGTTGACGTAATCTTTTCTATGACGCACACGCTTCAAGTCTTTTGAAAAGTTTTGCCTTGTGCACTTGGCCGGGCTTTATATTACAAGGTCGGTGCCCAGCACGTGCTCTCACACTGTTCTGTGGCAAAATGCGTGTTTTCCAAGAAAAAAAGGTGACATCAACAAAAAATTCCGCCGTGAGCAGGGGTATCTGCAGATTGTGCAGAAGAGATCCGGAGTTGCACACTCTTGTTTATCTTCTCTTGATAATATGGATCCGAGGTTCCGACCTAAGGCAGAAGTCAATGTGGTTCATCTGCATTGACTCTGTTGCAGTACAGGCAAAACCCAGGTGTCTCTGATTAGTACCGGAGCCAATCTTGAGTCATTCTTCAATGTACAGGCAGAGTGGTGTGCAACTTACATTGTCAGTCTTGTCCACGTTGGCTTTACACTTGACAAGATGCTTGGCAATATCAATGTGACCCCTCCGACATGCCATATGTAGTGGAGTGCGCCGCCGTATACCCTAGTAAGAACAACACACGTAGTGATAGGATGTGTACATCCACACACAACACGCATGTACAGACCCCCGGCCAAACAACACACACAACACGCAGGTACAGACCCCCGGCCAAAGAACACCCACAAGCACACACTATTGACCATTTGACCATTTGACGCCCATTGCCAGAGGCGATGATAGCAATGCTACAGCAGAAGCCATAGCAACTTGTGCCGGGATTGCACCAGTCAACAGCTTGCAAGGCTGAAGAATTGACCGCCACTATCCAGCCTGGTATACAAAAATATTATGAAGTGGCTTTTTCTGGCCAGTGAATCCCTGCTTTTTAGTCTTTTTCAACTTTTCCTGCGAACACATTACACGACAGACTCTGGCCAGCACTGGCTGTTGGTAACCACCCAGAAGCAATCACACACACACACACACACACACACACACACACACACACACACACACACACACACACACACAAGCGCGCGCACACACACACACACACACACACGCACACACACACGCACACACACACACACACACACACACACACACACACACGCACGCATGACCGCACGCGCATGCACGCACACATGCACACACGCACGCACCCCCCCCCCCCCACACACACACACACACTTGTACGTGTACCGTAAAGTACTGCCAGAGCGCCCCATCCTTTCGTGGTCACTCTGGAGAGGCAGGGTGGCCGCGAGTGTGTAAGGTGGTCTGTACTAGGGTCATACACACACTTACACAGCGACTGTCGCAGTGAAGCAACAGATGTTTGGTGAAGGTAAATTCCATGTTGTTCGTGCTGGCTGCAGCGCTGGGCACTGCAGTTCACATGGCTCACCTTTAAAGTAAAATGCGACTCAACCCCAATGTTGCAAAAACAAAGTGAACCCCGTACCACTTCAGTCGCACCAGGCCATACGATGTTCACTTCTGTTAAATACGAGAAAGGACGACTGACGACATAGATTGCATGCAGGCCAGCTATAAAAGGTACGGGAGGAGGTACCTAACACTTCTACTGCTGGACACGAGAGTCCTCTCTCCGTAATTTAGGGTGGGGCGCGATCGCAAGACAGGGCTTTCTGGCGGTACTTTATGGTGCTTGTACTTGGTCACTGCCAGAACTGGTCACACGAGTTTCCCCCCGAATAGGGGAGAGAGACTCAAAAGGATCCTTGGAAACATGACTCGTTTGGCTATTGAACCCCCCAACGGCCGACACCCCCTGAAAACCCCAAACTCTGGTGGGTGGACTTGGAAATGATCCCACTTATGGACTCCCCACACCTCAGGATTGACGATATCAAGGTATCCGCGCTGGGATCCAACTGCAGTTACCACTGCAATGGGGTCAGGTTATGGTCATTTCAACATTACCTGGCCATAGTTGTATAATATTATTTGCACTTTTGAAACCTACTTGAAATGACATTGTTCACACCACAGGAATACATCAATTGTTCAACCCAAACAGGTTATCACACTGTTCTGAAGACAGGAGTCAGTATCTTCCTCTGCACTTTGGATCTGACAATTTCAAAAGTATTTCAAAGTACTGCACCACAGTACTGCCGGGCACAGAAGAACTAAGCGCCGAAGAGCGACCAGGCTAGAACCTAACACAGCATACCAATGTATACATGGTAACTCAAACTGTGCAATAATAACGCCATAGAGTGTAGTACTGGATAATAGGAATTGTCTAGGCTAGGAAGCTGATCCCTCAGTTCTTCTGCAACCGGCAGCAGTGTAGCTAAGTTGCCAATTTGAGCTGAGTCATAATGCTTACTTCCAAAATGCTGTGTTTTACTCATATCTGACATAAAATCAGGCAACGGAACGAGAGAGCTTGGAAGCTCAGGGCCCTACGCTATGCTTTTTTGCTTGCTCATCATGCATGTAACGTGTCAAAGCTGTGTGGACCCTGGCTAGCGCCAAACGATACTGAAGTAACGTCTGTTGCATAGCTACGGGATTAATTTTGGTGTTTATTTTGAATTTTTTTTTTGTGTGTCACGCCTGGCGCTATCCCGTATTTGTCCCATACCGTACCGTACCATCAAAGACAGCTGGCCACAAACAGCTGGCCACAATATTTTTGTTTGTTTGTGCCATCGGCATGCCTGACTCTATCCCGTACCTGTCTCGTTTCTGCCGATCACGGGCGTTCTGGAGTCGACGGGATGTCTGTCCTGACGTTTCCTGTGACCGGCGCTGAATCTGCCGATCACGGGCGTTCTGGAGTCGACGGGATGTCTGTCCTGCCGTTTCCTGTGACCGGCGCTGACTCTGCCGATCACAAATGTTCTGGAGTCGACGGGATCTCTCTTCCGACGTTTCCTGTGACCGGCGCTGACTCTGCCGATCACGGACGTTCTTGAGTCGACGGGATCTCTCTTCCGACGTTTCCTGTGACCGGCGCTAAGTCGCCCGTTCAGGATTATTTTGGAGACGACGGGATCTCTCTTCAAAAGTATGTTTTTGCTGATGCATCATATCACCTATTCGGCAACTAACGTCTATTCTAATTGCATTTCCTCGTGTCTCTACTTCGTATTTCTTTCCAGAAAATCTCCCTATACAGCAGGGAGTCGTTTACATAATACGAATCCCTGCTATACATCTATATACTTTATAATTATTATGCTATCGGCCTACATGCAATTCACGGGCTGGTCGAGAGGCGGCCCAGCCAGCCTGCTAGTGGGATCTCGGCCTCGCACACAAATCCACACAACATGTTACTGCACTATCGGCCTGAATGCATTCCCTGATACACTTCGTATATATACTCATTCTATTGATGGTACCGTACTCTTAGCGCCAGGCATGCCGATGGTATAAACAAACAAAAAATGTTGTGGCCAGCTGTCTTTGCTGGTACGGTACGGTACGGGGCAGATACGGGATAGCGCCAGGCGTGACACAAACAAACAAACAAACACCAAATTAAAGCTGTGTGGACCCTGGCTGGCGCCAGACGTTACTGAAGTTACGTCTTCTGCATAGCTACGGGAATAAAACTTTCAAATTAAAAAAAAATCTCACTTCAGGTATTACAACTATGTGCCCCCTAACTACCCCACCCCTAACTACCCCACCCCCTAAATACTAGGGGTGAAACGACCGAACGAAAGTTCGAATATTCGTTCGAAAAATTTGAAAACGAACGAACGAACTCGCAAGATTGATAAACGAACACAGCAAGCAAGCATAAAGATCGCTTGTGACTAGAGCACGAAGGAGCCGCGGAGGTTAGGAGATCGCGAGCTTGCACGCTGATTGACTGCGTCTGCCTTGATGATCACTTTAAGCAAGTTGAAGGAGTTGAGTGTCGCGTCCGGACAAAGTTTCTTGAAATATTTCTGTGTGTCCGTTTGAGGTAGATTTGTACTCGTAGTGAAAGGATTCGAGTCGCTTGTGACATCTGTTCCTGAAAACAAACGTTCACTCGTTGCAATCATGTCAAGACGTTCGAGCCTTTCATCGCGGTCCGGAGTTGGAGCGGAATTTGATAAAGTGGTTGGGAAAGACGAAGTGCTTTTCTCAATTTCAAAAAGGTTCTATCACACAGCAGAGCGACGACGAGCAATCTTCGTACCCACCTCAAGAAGTACCGTTCTCCTGCTCTGACGACCTGAGCTAGCGATGAGAAGAAACTCTCGTCCGGACGATGGTGATGGACTTTGCAGCTAAGCTAGCTGCAAAACCCTGTGATTCAGCGCAGGCGGGCACGATAAAGAAAATATTGCTGTTCTGGCAGTGTATCATGCGATCACTGAGCATTCTCACTTTCTCAGTGATTCTGGCCTCTGCCTCTGGTTCTAGAGCTAGCTCACATGAAGATCTACATGCATGATCACAGTGTTTGTTTAGCATCACACCATCAATACTGAACAGTGGACAGCCAAGTACAGAGAACGCCTATACTGACAGACTGTAAGGTCTTAAAAAGAATTCATCCATGAAATACATACCAGTAATGGAGAATGTTCGTTCGAGTTCGTTCGTTAGTGTGAGAGTTCGTTCGTATTCAAAATTCGATGTTCGTTTCACCCCTACGTAAATACCCCACCCCCTAACTACCCCACCCCTAACCTCCAGGAAAGAAGTAATCACATGCACAGATTTCACATGCATGCAACCACCTCGACTTTCACATCTAAGGCCATCATTTTTTATATCTATGTTTCGCGTCAGTTCAACTTCCTGAATCATATGCGAGAGGTGGAAAAAAATAAAAAATTGCAAAATAATAAAAAAGCTCATCAGAGGTGTATAAAACTGTACATTGCACAATAGCTCGTGCATGGTGTACATCCGAAAGAAAAACCGTACATCGAAGCACAACATCTGCATCACTTTGGACAGAGGAGGCAACTGTTGGTGCCCTTGCTTCGCTGGATTATTGTACTCAGCCTTCAGCAGAGGTGCAAAGAGCTCCGGAACGACGCATCCTCTCAGCTTGAGGCGATCGATGCGGTCTGTTGTAAGCTCATAGAATACTGCTCGCAGATGCCGAACAAACGATTTACCAACGCTGGCCTCGAGGCCATTTCTGAATCCCAGCTTCGCCGTATGCAACCAGTCCACACTGATGACTCGCACGATCGTGCACTAACTGTGCATGGTTGAGTTTTATATTTTTTTCCGAAAAAAATCAAAACGTATGCGTGCGGACGACGCGAAACATAGATATAAAAAATGATGGCCTCAAGCCAGTCAAAGTAAGTTATAGGCGATTCACACGACAGGCAAATCCACGTGCACTAGAACGTTGCTATGGTATTTCACATGTGAACGAGAAAAGTGGCTGAAAGTGTCTGAAAAGTGCAAGAGAGCTGGGGGCCGACTTTCACGATAATCGTGGCATGCACGAGTACATT